CACAATGTATTAATTTTAGTTAGTTGGTTATGTATTTTTTAAATAAAAAAAAAATTTTGAATTTACTTACTTATAGCCGGAGTTAGAGGCGGTCGGATACTTATGACCGCTACTGTATTGATTAGTTTAGGCAAATGACTATGTCATTTGTCATTTAATGTTGAAATGACCCAAATGACATATGACCAGTCATTTGAGTCATTTGAGGTCATTTGGGTCACTGGCCATCACTGGATGAATGAGCACTATGTCTTACAGGAGTAAATGACTCAACTTTAGTGTGCAAATGAATAATTAAGGTGTAACAAAAATTAAGTAATTTATTATATTTTTTCAAAGTCATAATTCAATTAATAAAGTAATTTATTTTAAAAAAAAAAATAATTAAAAAAAAATTTTAAATTTATTATTGTATTCTTTATTTACCTTACACTGCATTTTATGCGCCCATATATATATATATTTATATATTTATGGCACATAAAATGCAAATTCTAATACAAAATGCATGATAAATACCGTGTAATATGATTTGCCTGCACTTTGGACCACCAAAATTTTCCTACCTTCTTTTTAGAAAATCAGAGAAAATAAGCAATTAGTTATGATTGAATATGTTTCAAAATAAAGTTGTACGTTTCTAAATGTAGCTCTTTTGAATCATGCTCAATAATAATAATTCCAAATGAACTATCGAGAAAGAAAAATGTAAGTAATTATTTAATGAAGCAAGTAATTAAGCCAGCAATATTAACCAAATGAAGAACAATTGCTATAAAATTGTGCAGTTACTAATAAAAAATTTTCAAACCACAGTTACTTTAGGGGTAGATAGAAAACCGGTACGGTACGATGTAAAATTACTGATCTGCATAATCGTACCGTACTGGTCTGGCGAATCGTACCGTATACTCTTAATTTAGTTAATTTCGACATTATAAATTGATTTTTATAGCGTGAAAGACAAAATTTTACTGTGGAAGCATTTCCGCAGTATTAAAATACATAAATTAAAAAATATAAATTTAAAATTACAAATATTTCCCATCTTACAACATAAAACATAGTGAAATCAACTTTATACGTAAGTATATAAATAATTTATTAGTCAAATAAAATAATAAGTGTCAATGGATTCATTAAATAAATACGATAAATATGAAAGGTATAATATCATAAAAATTTCATAGAATGTAATTCCGGCCGAAATCTTCATAATTCCAAATGAAAACCCATTTCGATTTTACAGTTAGCCTTTTTGATGATCTTTTTCCATGCCAGGATGTCAAGGCGTCAGGATGTCAGGATGCCAGGTAGCCAAGGTGCGAGTATGACAAATTTTCAAAATGCCAGGCTGGCTTAATTTTTATTTTTTTATCTATACGAGCTGAAAATCCTTAAACAGCTCAATATCCATGCTCGCCCTTGTGATATTTCTTTGATTTACATTCCCTTCGAAATCCTCCTTATTACACTTTCGCGATAATTTCGATTTCATCGTTTCAACTTTATAATTTCGCATATGCGACCTCGTTTATTGGTTTTATTTAATTTCCGGTTTTATTAGTAGTTTATTATTCAATGTTTATGTAATTATTTCGTATTTGCGCAGTAGAGGTTGGAACCGGTTAAAGATTTTTTTTAACCGGTTAAAATAGATGAATTTAAATCCGGCCGAAATTCAATTTCCGGCCAGAATTAAGATTTTTATGATTGCAAAATATTGTCTAACTCTGGCCAAATTTATAATACTGGCCAAAGTTAATTTTAACCGGTTAATTAACCGGTTAACAAATATTTTAACCGGTTATTAACCGGTTAACGAATTTTGGCCGGTTCCAACCTCTATTGCGCAGTTTTAATTAAATAGAATTTTATTACTAGACATTTACATAGTTTAATATTGCAAGCAGTAGGTATTTAATTGAACAAATATGAAGTAATAATGACAAAGTATTTATTTAATATTATCAAATTAATCAGTGTTGCCTCAACGTCGACGCTCTACACTTTCGCTTTTTCAATATATAAACGAAAGAACTGAGTACAACAATATGTGAAAATGATAATAATAAAGCAAAGCTCATAATAAAAAAGTGATTTTAATAAGTGCGTAATGAACAAAGATTTGCAATAACTATCTTTAATGATTCAATAAATATTGTGAATCACGTTCTTTTAAGTTCCTCCGTTACGTTCTAAGATTCAATTTGTACTATAAATTGCGTTAACTTGTCGAAAATCTAAAGATTCTTCAAATTTTCCGTCCACCAAAGAAAATAGTAGATTTAAAAAAATATGGTAATTGATAAATTTCTCCATGAAATTGTAAACTATTTAATGTATTAAAATATTTGTAAATAGGTGACATATCTATTGTTTAACCAATCAATCTTTTCATAGTAAGAAATATCGTCGTAAAATAAAATTGCAGTTTTTTTACAAAGAAACGTTGTCTTTATATCATTTGAATAATATGTACAGTGCGCGACGAAAGTTTCCGAGATTAAAATTCGATGTAAAAAATAACGATTTACTCCTGCAATATGTAATCTATTAAATAACTTTTCACGTGACATCATTGTATTAGCCATTTTTAGATATTATGTAATGGGAAGGTACTGGGTCTTCAGGACAATGACCCTAAACACACGGCCAAGAAAACTAAAAAACTTCTTTCTAACCGATGTCCGAGGTTGTTGAATTGGCGATTGAATAGCCCGGATTTAAATCCGAATGAGAATTTGTGGTCAATTTTGGAAGGGACGTGTGAAAAGAGAGGTCAACAATCTTGTAATTAATAAAAATCAAATTACTATAGATGTTTTTATAAAAAAGTGTGGGAGGGAATCGAGCCCAAAATTCTTCTTAATTTGGTTCGTAGCATGCCAAAACGATCGGAACAAATAATTGAGGGGGATGGCAATAAGCTAAGCTATTGACTTAGCTTAATATTTTATTTCGTTATATAATAAAATATATAATTTTAAATTTTCAAGTATTTTTGAGTTGTTTTCGAGGTACAATAAATAAAAACGTAATTCCGAATACTTCGTCGCGCACTGTAACTATATAACGTTTTCAGATTGGTGATTTCTATGAAAAGGATTAATTTGTAATAATACGATTAACTGAGAAACGACCTTTAATAAAATATTGAAATGTAGTATTTGAAGTCGGGGTTGGTTACATTCTTGTATAGTATTTCTTTTAAATCATCATACAATTCAGACAGAAACATAGCATTTTACTAATAAACATGAGCATAAAATTTTTGGACCAACAAGTTAAAATATCATTTAAACAGATAGAAGGAAGCGGGGACGCATTTTGATTAAGAAACAAAACCAAAAAGGAAATTCCCTGTTATTTAAGTCTTTATTAAATTCGAATATCGATGTATAAAAAATACCCGATTATAAAAGAAAATTTTCTGATCGTATATTTAAACAATTTGCCGCCATTTGTAATTTTTTTAAATAAAAATGTAAAAAAGTTTATTTAGCTTTATTTAATTTTTAAAAATTACTAAACAATTTTTATTTGTCGCCGGCGATCCTCATAATTTCATTTTGTTTTCTCTTTTGATACCATTTATAGCCAAGGATTCCAATTAATATAACAAATGCGGTACCTAAAATTCCACTTATTGCAGCAACTATCGTATTTTTTAGACCATCAGTAGTTTTTGGAGAAGTCGAAGAAGTTGTCGAAGAAGTATTCGGTAAACTTGTATTTGAAGGTGTAGGCTCAGTTATACTTTTCGGTTCAAATTTATCAACCCAAGTAAAGTTCGTAGTATCTAACAGGTAAATTTTGTTTGACATAGAAGATTTTTCTAAACCATTTGGATGAATAAGAATACCTATATAATTCAAAAAATATTTTACTTATAAGACAAGATATAATTAATAAATATTACGTATAAGGAATATTTACCAAAAGCAACAATCATATAATTCTCAACTAAATTTGCTGAATGAAATGATAGTGATGGAAATTCACCAATATTTGATGATACTTGTGGTATGGACCATTCAAATGGAGTCGTTTGAATATTCAAAACAGCCAGGTCTGGTGTGACTTTAAAAGATTTACTACCTTCATCTTTTAGCCCACCATTCATAATTATTCTTCCATCTTGAACTATAAAATTTGTAGTATGATGTTATTATTATTTTAAATCATAATTATAATGATAATGAGTCATACTTAATACGGCTGAATGGCCGAAACGGGATTCAATTTGATTAACATTTCTTGCTAACTTAAATAAAATTTAAAATTTTAATTTAAATTATTTTAAGTAATAATTACCAATATACGCACTTACCATATTAGACCACTTGTTTTCTTTTGTATCATAAAGATTGATTTGGTTAATATCAACTTCCCGTCCAATTATATCAGAAGCATTAACATATTCACGACCTCCGATATATACAATCACACCATTTGATAATAATGTTGCAGTATATATCATTCGACTTAAAGGAGCATTAGCAATAGGACCATATGACCACGTTAAATCATCAGTATTTAATATAATCATATCATTTAAAATTGTACCATTATTACCACCAAAAACAAAAATTTTTCGATTATCAGTGACAGCTTGCATTGTTCTTCGCATCAATGGCTCAGTTCCTGTAATTATGGGTGAAGTCCATTGTCCGGAATTTGGATTAAATGTATGTACTAGTGATGTCAATCCTCCAATAAGGTATATGGTATTATCATTTATTTCAACAGTAGTCATAAAACAACTTTCAAAATCTGTTCCGGAATTTAATGTAAGGTCGGTCCATGGCGGAAGCCCCGTATAAAATTTTTGAGACAGATCAAGATAGAATACTTCATTTGAACAATCTGTTACATTATATCCACCAATAAAATATATTTTATTTCTAACAAGGACTGATGAATGAGAAAAACGTCCTACAGGAGTAAACGACTCAACTTTAGTGAGCAAATGAATAATTAAGAAGATGTAACATAAATTAAGTAATTTTTTGCAAGCCATAATTCAATTAATAAGATAATTTAAAAATAAATAAATAATTTTTTTTTTTTTTTTTTTTTATAAATTTATTATATGCATTTATTTACCTTACACTGCATTTTATGCGCCTATAGATTTTATTTTCAAATACAAATGTTGTGTAACACGATTTTGCTTGTACTTTGGACCACCAAAATTTTCGTACCTTCTTTTTAGAAAACACACAAAGATAAGCATGCTTCAAAATAAAGTAGTAAGTTTCTATATGTAGCTCTTTTGAATCATGCTCGATAATAATAATTCAAATGAACTATCGAGAAAGAATAATGTAACAACATAAAACCATAGTGAAATCAACTTTATACGTAATATGAGTACAAATAATTTATTAGTAATAAGTGTCAATGGATTCATCAATAAATATGAAAGGTATAATATAAAACTCATATAATGTATAAAATTTATAATATCAAAATTTTAAATAGGAAAGTAGAATACTGTAAGTATATCTTTGGACATTTGATCGTCTGAATATATGTGATTTTGCATCCAAATGCTGAGCAAGCTGAAATACAACAAACACATAATTTACACGCTGAAGTAGTAAATCATTTTTGGGATAAAGGGATAATATGTGCAAGTGCAAAAAAAAAAAAAAAAAAAAAAAAAAAATTCCAAAGTCTACCATATATTATAATATCAATAAACTTAAAAAAAAACCGAAATTATAAAACGACAACCACAAAATTTAGCAATTTATGGTGGAAGAATGGAATAATATTTCAATATGATTATTATTAATTTATTATTATTTTTATTTGTCCAAAAGTAAATATTTGCTATAATACTGGCGCAGTTACTTGTGGTATCGATTAAGTAATAATGAGCGAATAATGTTGGTCGCAATAATGCCAGCACGCACATAATTGTTTATAAATTATTAGCTTAAATTAAAAGTTGACGTTCACCACATTTTTTCGTCTATCAGAACAATTATCTAACAGAAACAATGATGTGATCTTTTTTAAAAATAAGAAATAATTCAAAAAATTTTTTGTCAAAGGTCAAGTAAAATTAATATTATAAGCGAAGGCATATTTGATGGTTTACGTACTTGTTGATATTTTGAATTTTCTTTTTTTAATACTGTTTCACAGGAAGTGTTCACATAACAATGGAGACACCACAAATAAAAATATTTAAAACGGCCGCATTCGATTCATTCAATTTTACTTCAGATTTTATTTTAAACGAACACACCATTGATCGAAAATGGTACGTAGGACTGATATTTTCGTCATTCAATTCAATTTCTGATAAAAGTGCACATTTAGCGAACTCGTACTGGTCTACAACATCGAATCTTTTTTTTCTTTTGTAAAAGCAAGTTATTTTCATTGAGCTTTCTTTTTCTGTCATTATATTTTAATAGATCTAATGATTATATATTTAAAAAGAAAACGAAACGATTGTCGGCGAAATGACCCTATCGCTTAAATAAACGTCGGTGAAACAGAATGTCGGCGAAATAGTTGTCGAGTAAAAACCCCAGCTCGTAAATCATATGATCCGTAATTTTGAGAACCCTAACTAACCATAACTAACCATAAATAACCCTAATACTAAAAAATTCCATCCGTGACAAATAGATATGTAACAAATAATATTTCGCCACTCAATAAAAATAAGTCCCCTGAATAAATAGTATAATCATGTGTCCGACGATTTTTGAGAGAAGATGATCTCCCCAGTATCATCACAAAATTTTTACACCACGTGACATCATTTAATTTGTCACATTATTAATTTCTTACAATAATGTCGTAATGCAGGCCAAAGTCACGTGGATGACAAAATTTTGATACTGGGGTAAATTGTTATGATGAAACAATGTTTTGTTCTAATCCTATATCCGGTCGAACAAATTTGATAAAAAGCTTTCCGCTTCAACTCGCTAGTGTAATATTTGCTAAAAGAGATGAATTCAAAACTCATTATAGACTTGAAAATTAAATTATTTCAGATTTGATACTCCACCATTAATGATTTAAATTTATCGAAGATAAGGATTTTATTTGCTTATGCAAGCATCTTTTTTTAAAAAATTTTTTTACAGGAAGATAATTAGATAACCTTATTTAGCCGGAATATTAATTAATAGAACTTTATAAATATGAATCAGAATTTGTCGCAAATTATAAATATAACGATAATTACAGCAATAATGAGAATATAATACAAGTAATTTTCAATCATTTTTGGATTCTCCAAGAAATTACCACAAAGGTATTAAATTCGCGTGCTATACAGCATTAAGGTCTGGCGTATAAACTCACCAAAACAAATCATCAACTTCACTACTTTATCGAATCAGGATTATCGGTTTCTCCTTTTATCAGAGGAAAAAAAACGTAATAAAGGTAAAGAAATTAACCTATTGTGAGAATTTATTTACACCACATTTCATTTGGGGTGATTTCTAGGAATATCAGGTTCCGAGAAATTTTTGACTAAACTTACATTTTAATCTAATAACCTCAAAAACTAAAATGCAATAAAAATCTCAATTTTGTTAAAAATTCCCGGTACCTGATTTCCTAGCAATCAACCCATTTGATGCCTAACGTCAATAATTCTTGATGCCTTTCATGCTCTTTGCTATCGAAAAAACTTTTTATTACTCTTTGCTTGACTTAAACTTTTTATTGATTTGCTAAATTAATTTCGGGTTAAAAAAATAATATGAAAAGAAAAACAAAACAAAAATACTTATCCAAGTTGATAAAAACAAGTAATTTAAAAGGGTTAGATCACAACGAAAAGATTAAATATTTGTAATAACTATATTTATTTATTTATTTTATTTTATTTTATTTTATTTTTTTTTTTTTTAGCTGTAAGCAAAATTCATATATATAAAAAATCTTAAATTCAAGAAAATCTAGATCGAAAAGTTATTGATTTAATAAAGTTGCAAAAGTGCCGCAGAAAAGTATATTTTCTACTGCTTTAGCTGTAGCTTAAATAGCAACTACTAGCAGGTATTTAATGTAATGATCATGTAGTGTATTTCCAAGATCGGCTCAACAATCTTATAAATCATAAAGGTCATTGTTTTAAAATCAAAACTCAACTTGAACGCAAAAATTGATTTTAGACTAAATTTACAAACAAGTTGCGAATAGCCAGGCCTATCAACACTTTATTATATTTCAGAATTTAGCAATGCAGACTTATAAACCTTCTTTGATTAATTCCAACATAATCAATAAACTTTTAGATTACCAGCCTCTTTAAAATATAAGCAATAATATATTAGAAATTTCCATGGAGACGGATCAACTTTTATCATTAAAACAATTGGTGGATTGGCCAATTTTTAAAATTAATTATGTGAAATAATTATGCGAACTTAATATTATTCACCTCTCCAATTAAATGTAACTTTTTAATCCATGTGTGTGTTAAGATAGTTAAGATTAGACTTTGTATCAAAATTAAATTTGCAATATGTAAAATATAGTGTAAATTCTTATGATATTGTTATGTTTAATAAAAATATCGGACTATGAAAATCAGTATGATCCTATTAGGCTGAACGATAATAATTAATCAAAACCACCAAATATCGTACAAGTTTTTATTAACTATATAACTTACAATTCTAACAAACTTGCAATATTAAAAATATATTTATCAATATCTTATTCCTTTTTGCCTGTCAAAAAAGAAAGCGTCCAAACATACAACCAAGTCTGTTGTATAGTAACGCATCCCAGCGAGTTTCAAAATACCATCTAAAATAACTAAAAAAACGGAATGGCTGACGGTGCATACTATAAGAAATTATCATCCACTGTGTCCGACATAACAAGAATTTTCCAGCTACACACATGATATCTCTCATAAACGTTTCGAAATCTTTCTAATCAATTATATACCAAAATAATAACATTTTTTTTTTAAAAAAAGTAAAGTAACAGGTCCCAAAGTCGTGTGTATGAACTTCGAGATCATGAATGATGACAAATTTTATATTAATAAAAATTAAATAAAATACAATACATGTGTTACTTTCAAATATAAAGGCCGGGGCTATAAATAGTTACACTGTATAATAAAATTTTTTACAATGAATAATGATATGACTACCGAATGCGTTTTTTTTTTATTTTATTAAAATTTTATTATATTTACCGAGTGCTCCAATCATTTCGCTTGCTAAATATAAAATTAAAAAAAAATAAAATGGAAACTTCCAAGAATTTAAATGAGTTATTGAAAAATATATTTCAAGTAATAATATAAAATATTTTGAATACAAACATTTTAGCAATTTTCAAAAGATTGGTTCAGGCAGCTTTGGAAAAGTCTATCGAGCAAATTGGAAAAGTTCAAAGCAATATCTTGCGTTAAAATCATTTCATAACTTTAATAACGCCACTGTTAAAGAAATAGTTCATGAGGTATATTTTAGTTTGTTTATTATAATATCATTTATATCAAGTCAAAATTTTAATTTGTAATAATTTAGCTCGAACTTCAACGGGCTATTGGATTTCATTGTAATATCATCCGCTTTTTTGGGATTACAGCATCAAACCAAGTTATAAAACCTTATTTAAGTTAGGTTAATTAATAATATATATTTTGGCCTTTACATTGTATTTTTAACTAATTTATATTTTTTTAAAAATAAAATAAAATTAGAAAATCAAAATGATCAATTGAAAAATATTTGATTGTAATGGAATATGCTGATGGTGGTGTTCTTAAAAGCTACTTGAAAAATAATTTTGATAAGCTTGCTTGGGAAGACAAATACAACTTGGCACTCCAGTTGGCTAGTGCTGTGTCGTGTTTACATGACGAAGGAATTGTGCATCGTGATCTGGTAATCTTACATAATATATATCTCATTTCGCTTATTATAAATCTTATTGTCAAAAATTAATATTTAAATCTATATATACATTTAATAGCATTTCGGCAATATATTAATTCATCAAGGTGTAATTAAACTAGCAGACTTTGGTCTATCGAAAATAATTGACGAAACAACCAACCAGTCAAACGTCTTTGGTATAATTCCTTATTTAGATCCAAAAGGATTTTCTAGTCGAAGAAAAATAACAATACGTCGCAAAAATATTTGCCAAATGAAAAAAAGTGACGTTTACAGTGTTGGCGTATTGTTTTGGGAGATATCAAGTGGCCGCCCTCCTTTTTATTTTGAAGGTAAACAATTCGATATCTATTTAGCTATAAAAATTAAAAAAGTGTTATTCCTGGTACGCTTGAAGATTATGTAAACATTTATACAGGTAAATATAATATTATAAATTTAAATATATTGTTTTCGATCATTGAATTGCTTATATGATTTTAGATTGCTGGGACGACGAGCCAGACAATCGTCCGGTTATGAGCAAAGTAGTTGAAAAATTAAATGATATAATTACAAAAACAAATATAATAGATCAAATTAATAATGAAGATTCAAACCTTCAATCGTCAGAACTACAAATTTATTATAGCATGAATAATTCATTTCATGGGGACTTATCTCGAATTGAATCAAAAATTAGATCAGATGAATGTAGAAAAATTAGTATCGAATAATGAAACATCAAACATTATTTACGATAATACTATTGATAGTTTAACGATTACGGAGGATACATTAAACGCCTTAGGAGGATTGCAAAGATATCAGAAATTAAAAGTACTCAATTGCAATTATACTCAAATAAATAGCTTACCAACTTTACCAACCTCTTTGACTGTACTGTACTGCGAAAATACTCGGATAACTAAATTACCAAATTTTTCCGATTCCTTAAAATGCGTTTATCCAACATTTACTACGTAAAAAAATTCTATTAATAACCTTTTCATGGTCCTATTCAAAATTTTACTTATTT